GTATTTTTTTAATTACACTTTACTACCTGCTTTCCTAAAACAAAATACAATGACCTAACCATAGAGCCTTAGGGGATTACTGAATTCCTTTACCTGTCAACCACTATAAGATTTTTGGAAATCACTGTCAAAAAAAAACCATGTATGGGCTCTGAAAATAAGACAAAGAACTTGGTGGGATTATCAGGAGTTCAAGACCAGCCTGGCCAACATGGTGAAAGCCTGTCTCTACTAAAAATACAAAAATTATCCAGCTGTGGTGGCAGGCACCTGTAATTCCAGCTACTTGAGAGGCTGAGGCAGGAGAAATGCTTGAACCCAGGAGGCAGAGGGTGCAGTGAGCCAAGATCACACCATTGCACTCCAGGGTGGGCAACAGAGCAAGACTCCATCTTGGGAAAAACAAAAAAAAAAAAAGAAATATACTCACAGGCCACAAGGTAGGAAAGGAGAAGTCAGAATTCAATCTTCAATCCCAGGCAATATGGCACTGTCTCTACTTTATTTTATTTTATTTTTTTTTTTGAAACAGGGTCTCATTCTGTCACCAAGCCTGAAGTGCAGTGGCATGATCACACCTCACTGAAGCCTCAACCTCCTGGGCTCAAGGGATCCTCCTGCCTCAGCCTCCTGAGTAGCTGGGACTACAGGCACACGCCATCATGCCCTGCTAGTTGTTTTTTGTTTTTTGTTTTTTTGTAAAGACGGGGTTTTGTCATGTTGCCCAGACCGGTCTCAAACTCCTGAGCTCAAGTGATCCACCCACCTGTGCCTCCTATAGTGCTGAGATTACAGGCGTGAGCCGCCATGCCTGGTCTGTCTCCACTTTTGATCATGACACTATTATACTACACTGTTTTTTTTTTTTTCATAATACAAAGCACAAAAAGTAAACCTGAAATTCTCCTGGATGATAGATATGCCCAATAGAAGACAAAATTTAAGTTTTATGGAGATTAAAAAATATCTAAAAACAATTTCAACTACAACCTTATCACTTACCAAACTTTTCAACAAAGCTGCAATAGAAATAACACTGAAGGTCAGAATCTTTTCCTTATATCATGCTCAAGGTAAAAAGAAAAGAGAGATTAAGGAATAATAGGCATAAGAAAGGCAAAATAAGAGAACTGATTTTTTTTTTTTTTTACAAACTACACAGGCAAGCTCCTGAGTAATTGACAGTTGCCAATATCCATGTCTGAGTGGAACCTTTAGATCAACTCCTCTGAATGAAAAGGCTAAATGCAAATTCAAAACATCCTGTTTTAAATATAAGACTTTTCAATATTTCTGATGACAGACACAAGAGAAAAAAAAGAACACAGGAAGTATAGATAACATGGCACCATTTAAAAAGAAAGGAAAATATTTATAACTAAAACTATGCAGTCATGTTATAAAGAATATAAAATGTAGAGCAAGAGCAAGCATTTTGAGGTCTATTCAGATCTCAAAGATTGTCGCGTGAGCTATCTGGGCTACCTTCTTTCGGCATACCGATACGTACTGTAAAAATAGCCACACAGTTTTATCTTAGACTCACGCCCTTCAAAGTCTCAAAAAGCTCAAAGTCCGATGCATAAAAATCTACAACTCCCAATCTGCTGTCATAATTTTATATGAACTGTAAACTCCCCTGGGTTTTACACACTAAGTTGTTCTGAACACTAGCTTTACTCAGCAGTGCCCCAGCCTCATGTGAGAACTCAGGCATCCACCCAATGAATGTATTTTTTCCAGTGTGGCTTTACAGCTGTTGCTGTTTTCACAGCCACCACAGCCTGGTGCAAACACATGAAAGGCCCTTAAATCAGCCAATGAAGATGAGAACACAGAGCCAATGTCTGTACAGCTTCCTTGGTACAATTTTTAACTTAACGTCATGGATATCTGAGTTCATGGCCTGATGATTATTGTAAAGGACTAGTGGGAGAAGGAAGAGAAGAGAATGAAAAATGATGACCAGTCCAGTTATATGCTCTCGTCCTGCTTAGGTGGCCTTGTTCACCTTGGTAAGAGAGAGTAAAGGGGAGACAGTGACCAGAATGGGAGAACTGTGGACATAGAAATAAGGTCCACGCTGAACCCCATAGAAAGACAAGAGCTAAGGCAATGGGATGCCTCCCCACCTTCAGCCCAAAAGAATGGTTTTTCACCATTATTGCTGACCTTCATATAGAATGTCTTACATCACAGAATAATGGAATGTTCATTGAGTACATACAAAGGGAGTCATAGGTGCATATTCTAAAATCCTGGATTGACTCATCACAGTCTAATGATGATAATAATAATAATAACAGCAGCAGAAAAGGAGACATGGAAGTACCTGGCAAGGATTGATCTGAATTCTTGCCTCTGTGACTCAAAAAATGGAAAATTAACAAGAAAGCAGCAAGATCGACAAGTTGGAACAGGAAATTCATGGGATCTGATCAGATTCAAGGAATTTTTCTCTTTAGCTCCATGCCAATTATATCTAGAAATAATTTCAATATATATTTTGGAAAACCATCATTACTAAAAATTGACTGACTGAAGTGAAAGCTCAGTTCATTATTTACTTAACACACCCTGGCCAAATACCAACATAGCTCAGCTGAGTAAAACAAGTTGATTTTCTCAGTCAAATTTCTTACACAAACCAGGAGCAACATTTGGTTTTCTTCTCTGGTCAGAGATGCCAGCATCCAGTCGTTGGATTCTCTTACAGATCAGTCCTCATTCTCTATAAATAGGCCAGAAAGACTTTCTGACCCTAGAAAGGATGCTCTGATCTACCAAACCATAGAGACCGCTGGCGTTGTTTCCAAAAGAAATCTAATCCTTAAATCCCTAGAGTGTTTTCTGAAGGCCCCTAAACACACAAATCCTTCTGTCTGAAGTTCATCCTCCTCCCTAGCAAGCACAAGGACCTATCTTCATATTTCAAATAAGTTTACTACATCTCTGACAGGAGCAATCCTTTATTCTCTTGTGGCTGTGTTGCCTTTCAACTCTCTTGGGTATCTTTGTTCACATCAAAAGCAGTTAATTTTCCTTCTCCAAAAGCTCCACAGTACAAATCCCCCACTTAGCATTAACCATCAATTAGCAAAGCATGGAACATATCTGTCTATGAATGTAGATGGAGGTATGAGGGTGAACAGTACACACACATGCAGAGATGCCCAGACATTGAGACAAAGATACATAATTCCACAGCTTATAGAAAACAAGTAGTTTAAATAAATAACTCAAAGCTATCCTTATAATAATGCGTAGGTACATGTAAATTTAAATATGTGTTTTATATATACACTCAGATATTATTATAAATATGCACTAAGTTTGTAAAATTTACCTTTGCTGTAACTTTTACATACATAAAACTTCTAACAGTATTAATCAATATATTATGATTCCTTTCTATGATTGAAAAGCACTTAAGACTTTATTTTCCTCTCTGGAAATTGCCTGAATGATGATCTGATCATCTTTTTCACAGGAAAAGATCAGGTCTCTGCTTCTAAATGCTTTAGAGTTTCAGCATTTCAAAATGGAAGCAACTGTGTCAGGGAAATGAAATATTAATTCTATGTGCAACTAACCCCGACATCACTTTACAAAATACCCTAAGAAGCTGTGTTTCTGGAATTGCTCACAATTCCAGAAGGTCCATGTAGGAGCACTAAATTTTGCAAAGCGTCTCCTGTGCAGGCCAGTTCTAGTCCTAGTATGCTCAACATTTTCTCAAGTGAGAACAGCATCAAACAGAATAGGACACAACACACAATAGCAGGTTGAGACTGACCTATTTACATATATGTGCATTGATCATCTGAAAGGGTGTGTAGCAATATATTAACAGCGACTATTTCTGGGTGGTAGGTTTTTGGTAACTTTCTCTGCTGCTTCCATGGATCCCTATAAGCACATCCCTCTGTTTATGTAATAAACCTGATGAATGAAAAAATAAATCTATTCCCAGAATAATTCCACGAACATCAAAATACACAACGAATTCATTTATGAAATACGTGTACATACTAAAGAGCAGATCTAATGAAATCTACCGCAAATCAGATAAAAACACATAGTATAGTGTACATGAGGGGCTCTGTCCATGAAAAATATCTTGACCATCAGGACTTGTATTAAGACACAGTAGGGACAGTGAAGTTAGAATAGGCAGCTCTTATACAGCAGCCAATGTAGGAAGAGTCGATGTGCATGATCCATTGGAACCAGCCTAGGCTAGGTATGGGCTCTTCTGGAAGCATGCACTCCATCAACTACATCAAGGTAACACAAGAAGTGATGTGATGTTCTGTGCAAAATCTCCTATTCAGAAGCAGGGCCCTGCTGTGGGGCGCTGAATGATCTTTTGCATTTCCTTATAATCCAGATTCTTAACTACCCTCCTGCACACCAGAACAGAAGTTAATGGACTTGCCCCAAAAGGCTCCACAGGACTCAAGAATCTAAAACTCCAGACTCAAGTGTGTTCCGGCATGTTTCTTTTTCCTTTCACTTCATATATACAGTATGTGAAACACAGAGGTTACAAACTAAAATCTAGGGCACTGGGAGCATAATATCTACTTTTGGACCAGACTCTTAGGCAAAGCCTTGCATCACAGTACCAAAATCTCTCTCCTACTGTGGGGATATGAGGTGTTAACAGTGCATAATAATGCTTTATTCTTATTCAGAATAAAATAGTCCCTAGGTGATATGATCTTATTACAAGCTTACCGTGTGAAAACATTGAAAATAATCACTTAACACAGGTTAACTCCCACAGACCCCACAAAGACATTTTCAACAGCGCAGAGCGGTAGGACATACACGGATGGGTTCCCCAACCCCCACCCCCAACCAAAGTGCCGTTCTCAGCTCTTAGTGCCTGTATATTCTCGGACTGCAGCTGGCCAACTGAGAAAAGCCTCTCCACGCCTATCCACCAGACCTGTTTCGAGAGCTCTGCTTCAATCTGGGCAACCCCCCACACTTACAGCCATAAATGCATTGGCACTGAGAAAGACTGCTGAGGAGGTGGCACTCCAGGTGTGGCTTTATGTGTCACTTCACCAGGTCAGCTATTTAGGCCTAGTCTTCTCCATTGGCTTGAAGCTCTGTTCACACCATCTTGGGTAACACATCACATTATTCTTCCTTATAAAAACAAATAAACTCAAATGAGCATTCAGAGTCAGTTCACCCCTCCGAACACCTCTGTCTTCCCCTCTGATTTATGTGACACGGTTTCAATCCCTCCCACCTGAAAGCCTCCCATACTCTCACTGAGGATTGGCCAGATGCCCATCTCCACTCCTCAGGTCTTCCAGCTTCCTCACCTCCACAGATGTGCACAGCCCAGAGGATGTCAGCCTGCTGGCCACCACTGAGTCACCAGGAGTACAGCACTGCAGTACCTAGCACTACCCTCCATCAACTACCGCCACTGAGTCAAGTCACTGCACCTTCACTTCCCACCCTACAGGAAAACTCAGCTGTCCTGTGAGACTGGACCCAAAGGCAAAATTAAAAAAAAAAATGTTTTCATACTTATAATGGCTCCCCTCTGAACCAGTGCATCTGACATTTATACAGTTCTGGAGAACAAGAAGCTGGATACATTAGTTCCTAGCCAACTCTTCACAGCAGCCAGTTTCTAAAGGCATTTCTAAATGACTCCAGTTCACTTCGGTGCAATACCCTGCCTGCCCAAGTTGAAAATCAATGGCTGAAAAGAAAACTTAGAATTCGCAAGGTATCATAGGTTTCATAACTGAGCGTGACGAGAAGGGGTAGAAGAAATGATCAGGCCTTCTGAAGAGCCCAGTCCGGGAAGCTGGCTTACTCAACTCCTGTAATTGCCTTTGCCATTTCTGCACCCCACCTGCAAGTGTGGATCTTCTCGCTTTCAGCCACCTAGGTTTTGAACTACCATCCCTTGCAATACACTGACAGTCTGATCATTTACGAGCACGTTGGGTAACATGCAGAGAGACTTTGCAGAAACAGAGTTAGAGTTAGAACAAACGCACAGACAGGATGGAAAAATGGAATGCCTTAACAGAACTGAGGATTTCTCTCTTTCATGGATAGCACATCATTTGACATATACGTCTGCATTGACGTATACCACAGGGTTTTTTTGTTGTTGTTATAACCTGTTTATTTGGTGGTTTAGTCAGAGAATCTTATATAACACACTCCTGTTTCAAATGTAGCAACATGTAAGGCACTGCACTCACATAAAATTCAGACTCCCCACAGCACTTCCCATTAACCACCCCCAACCATCCACCTTGCAAGGTTTCTGTGTATTGATGAAAAAATAGGAACTACCACCAGCAAGAGTCAAAAGAAAGATTCCATTAACAGCTTTACCCTATATTCAAAAGCTAGCATTCTATGGTATGATTTTAGGAACTTCAGAAAATTATTTTATCCTAATTTTAATAGATTGCATGAGCCTGACCTAGGGGGGAAAATGAGACCAGTTCTCTAAACCAAAACACACGTGAGTCTACTTCGCTCTTCCAAGGTAGAGTATAGGAACACTGCCCATTGCCTCTGCACTGGGGTGCCTGACGGCCACAACCCTTGCATCTGATTTCCTTAACAAAGAAGCAGTAGATCTGCACTGCTTGCTTGGCCAGAAAGTACATAATAATACAGCTATAGCTTAGGAACTTCCATTCATGCTAGCTCAACAAACAATGTGTATTATATAATGAATGAGGCTTTTCTACGAACCCTGCTATTGGAAAACACAGGCACTTTCTGCATAGTTTAAACCAGTCTACAAGGAGCAGTTACCCCTGGTGAAATCAGACATGGACCCAGTAAGGTATAAATTCAAGCAGCCTACACTCTTAGATGCTTTGCCATCGCCCTCATTTCTTTATTGCTTGACAATAAATAATTTCAGTTACCTATAAACTACACAGAGAACATTTACACAGCAGTCAGCAAGCCCCAGAATGATGTTAGTTTTCTGCTCCATGTTCCCTGCGTTGCCTAAGAAATAAGGGAGGGGGGGTGGAGGGGATAGTGGGAGGAGGAAGAGGAGGAGAGAGGGAATTAGCTATCTATGAAAATACTTACAGCCTCCGAGTCTTCAATTCCATGCAGGTACAAATTGTCATACATGGAGGTCTGAAAATCCAGAGCACCTCTTTTCAAGGCAAAAACAAAATTGCTGCAGAAACCACAGCTAGAGCTTAAAGAGAAAAGGCCTGTTTGGGAAAACTGCGCCTGCCTTATCAATTTCTGTGGATTTACCAGGCAAGATGCTATTCATTCACATCCCACAGGGTGAGGTTATCCCCAGAGGCAGTCCAGACCTGGCATTTTATCTGCCTTCCCAGTACAGAGCACAAAAAGCAAAACCCTTCCTCAACCACAGACTGGTGACTGAGCTAGGAAAGCGGCCGCTGATTGGCTCAGCTTCCCTGCTTCAGTCAGCTGAAGAGCGTTCCCTCGGAGAGTGGAGCATCCTACCCAGCAAAGAGCTGCTTCCTGTTTCGCCTGTATTGTTAGTTCTACAATAAACACTTATCAATATCCAAACGGCTGTGTGGAATGTTTGGAAAGGCAGACTATTGAATACTCCAAACACAACTGCTCATCTTAATTAAATTCACAATTGGAGAGGGGAGCAAAGGGAAGATTTTATTTTCAGAGAATATCATGTAAAGACAGGTAAACAGATACTCATCTCATCCAGCATCTGTAATTAACAGATGCATTTAAGTCAAAAGGGCAATGAGTCATAAAAATTTTTTTTAAGCCCAAGGTGAAGAAAAAAATGACTAGAATAAACAGATGGTAAGATTTCTTGTGCGAATTCTATAGTAAAAGTTTTCAATATTCTCACTGGTGTCTCTCTGCCTCACTGGTAAAAATATAGCTCTGAGTCCCAACTGGTGAAGTTTGAAAAGGGAGCCAAAAACCTCTCAACTTTTAGATGCAAAATTTTTAATGCTCTTCAGTTGAATTTTTTAATCAACTTTAAGCAACAGCCAATGTTTTCATGTAAGTTCTTCATCACCTTCCCATGTATAAATCTTGAAGATCCTGAAAGGGCATTGATCTTTTCTCCAAAACCCAAATAGAAACGTCCTGCTCCCTCCCCCTGCTGCTGCCACACCACAACTCAGGTTGACCTAGGACAGGTCCCACATCGCAGCAGCCTGGCATGGAGTTTCTCTAGGTACTTAGAGCTTTCTGGTCAACCAATAAGAAAAAGCTACAGCTTTGCAACAGGAAAGCTTTATAGCCCACTCTAAAAGAAGCCAGCGAAGTTCAGGGGGACAAAGAAGCTGATGAGGGACAAAGAACATATTTTAGAGAAGCTACGTGACTGACTGGGTAAGTCATGACCCAGAAACTCAGAAGCTCTGAGTCCCCTATATCAGCTTCACCACTAATCGGTCAGATGACTCTAGACCAGTCAGTCACCACCCCGATGAGCTCTGGTTTCTTCACCCGCCAAAATGAGGTAAGAAATAACTTACGGAAAGAACTCTGCAAATCTAAAGTGCAACATTAAACACTTACCATTGAGAAGCTGCTTTGTCAGCCAGAGGCATTGGCTGCAGTTCATGGGAGCTCAGCACAGGAGTAACTGGCTGGCCTTGGACCTAGGAAAGGAGGCCTGTCCTTCCAGCCAGTAGCTCTGAAAAGTGTAACTCTTAAAGGAAAAAACCTGAGTCAAAATAATAAACACCACAAGGGCTAAAACTGCTGAGCAGAGCACAGTTCTTCCAGGTCTGTGCTGACCCGTTCACGTCTTTCCATCAGAGTTGCACACCTTGGGAGTGGCATCAATACTCAGTCCACTTCCAAATACAAATGATGACCAGGAGACTCTGCTGTCCTTCAGAATCCCAAAATGGTAGAGTTCATAGATTGTCACCTCTTAGACTGTGCCCCCATGGAGGGAGGACAGCAGCAGAGGATGAGTGCAGTCAACGGAATTTCAGAGAGAAACCCAGTGCTGGCTCTACCTGTCAACCAGGATGCATGTCGGAGCAAGTCCTTGCCCAGGTAGAACCTCGGTTCCCTCCCCCATACAATAAAAGGACCGGATCAAAGGGCTGCTGTGCTCAAATTCATGGGTCAGACTCTTATTTCAATTAACTCTCTAACACAGCCAGATGATATTTCAGCCAGAATCAACAGAAAACTGAGACAAGAGGGTCTCTTCTTCTCTTAAATTCTCCAGACCATTTCCCTACTTTACCACCTCAATTGCAAGTACAGGTATTTCCCGATTGTGTTAAAATGGACATCTAAATTAAGGGGAGAAGATAGAGGCAGCCCGTTTTCGCAATTCACCAAGATGAGGGATATTGTTCCCGATTGGAGAAACTACATAGCTCAGCTCTTCTGTGGATGGCTGCTGTGGAGCTCTCTCTACGGCCAATCTGAGGGCCTAAAGGAAGATTTAAAGAGGAGGGGCTCACTTTACAGTACCCTAATGCATGCAGTCAGTCAGTGACTGGGGCAGGATGTTAGCAGGGAGGCACTGGATCACATACCAGCCTGTGGTTGCCGCTACACCCAACCCCTCTAAGAACAGATGTGAAGCAGGGGCAGCCTGGCTCTGCCTGCTTCCCAGGAAGTCAGAAGCATGCTGGACTCCACATCACACACTGTAAGAGGTGGGAGAACACCCTTTCAGTGCCTAGAAATGTTCAATTGCTTTACTCAAAGCCGTATGTCCTATACTGGAGTGTTCCTACCCCACTTCCTCCTTGATAGAGTTTTCAAGATGAGGGGCAGTAGGCGTGTTCCCAAGAGGAATCTGGTGAAATAGAGAGAAGTCACTTTGGTGACTCCTATTTTTCTGACCTTTTCCATTCTAAAAAGTTATCCAGTCAGAAGTCATTTTGTTCACCCACGGCTGATAATTACAAATCAGATCACCGGCTGGGGAGTCTTCTCTTACAGTCTGGATCTACACAGAATCAGCACCTCACCTGTGAATCACCTAAGGGTTTCAACCCAATACTCAGGCTGAACCTAGAGTTCCAAAGGAACCCCAGTGAAACACTCAGCTCTGAACCTCCACAAACGAACTCTAAGAAGTTCCAGAAAAGTGAGCTCAGAACTCTAGAAAGATCTTAGAACTGACTATCTCTGTCCCAAGATTCTCTAAACTGAGACCAGGCTGAGAAGTAGTGAGAGGTCCCTGGGAGCTTCCTGGCCTGTTTCAGATCACCTCCAGTCCCCAGCTTTTAGAAAAAGGATCTATGGATTCCAGCAGATTCAAGTTTCTAGGGCCAAATTTCATAATTCACAGCAGCAGGAGGTGAAAAGCAACCAAGACACTGGCACCCTCTTGGTTTTGACTTTAACAGTTCTCCAGTTGAATGATGGTCAAGAAGACGAAAGAGAAACTGCCCTGTTTCTGGCCTACTTCTCTCACCTGAGGTTACAGTGAGATCAAGTCTTGTGTTGGTGTTTCCCAGGAACCCACCCGCCTTTCATTACTGAGTAGCCTCCAAAACTACACAGCCTCCAGGAGGCTGCCTCCAATTCTGACGTTGCCCTGCTGAATGTGTTTCTGACCCACCTCTTTTCCAGTTATCTCTCATTATGATCAACCGTTTAAAGTCAAAACAGCCTATGAAAAAGCATCGTCTCTATGATTCTGTGTTTATAAATGCCACGTGATTCATGATGGGGGAGGTGTCCTTGCAATTGACAAACGCCTCAGCTGAGCTCAATTTAGTGGAGGAAATGGCATGGCCCTCAACAAATTAGAAAAGCTCTATTTTGTACCACAAGGTAACATTACTTTCAGTTACTTTTCATGAACTTCAAACTTAGGGATATAAATATATGTCCCTTTTCCTTACCTAGTGCTGGGCTTTGTCATAGAACAAACCCTTGAAATTGACAGTAGAGTACAACAGACAAGTATTTTTGTTTTCCATTTATTTGGACAGAGAAGAGAGAAAAGCCAAAAGTGAGATGATTAGCTATGAGATTTAGATAGTCATGATCAAGACAACCAGTGCAGATTTAGAAGCAAAAGGCAATTTTGATTCTAATTTTCCACTAAGTTTCTTGGGAATTTAACTTTTTAAAGCCGATGTAGCTACGTGTTCTGTAGCAGAACTGCAAGAGCGCAGAGAAGAGACAAAGGAATAATGTCAGCCTCAGCCAAGGCTAGCCCTCTCGTTGGCTGTATGGGCTAGAACAGAAGCCCAAGGTCTTTGTTTGCCAATTCAGCCTTGGGAATTATTTTGTTCTTTGTTTTTGTTTAAATTTTACTAAGTGACTACAATGTCCCAGAGGACTTTTCTCATCTTCCGCTCTGCAAGTAATACCATTCCACTCCTTTGCCTCTAGAAATCTGTGTGGCATTGCAAGAATGAATATCATACCCCTGTTTCCTCCCTGGAGCCCATCAGATAGGTGGTAGCAACAGGGCAGACAAGGGAATGAAAACAAAACAAACACAAAACTACAGGCAACAGATTCCAATTCTAGTATCCTCTGCTGTAGTTCTCTGAGGTTGACCGTAGACCTAACCACCTAGGCTGGCATGTCCTGAGTCTCTCAGGGCCCCATCTATACCATGGAGATAATAGTTTTGAAATTAGTGAGTTAAGATATGAAAGATACATAGGAGGCAGCATGGAAGAATTGGCCTTTTTAATTTTTTTAAGGCCAGTAGTATGGAATCAGGGAAGCCCACATTGCCCAGCTCCAAGCACCCCATGCACCCCGTGTGAACGGTCCTCCCTGTGATGTGTAACAGGAATATCATGAACCAAAGTGGTGAGAAGCAGGGACCCTGGAGCCAGTTGCCTGCATATCCCAGCTGTGCCACTTCCCAGCAGGGTAACACTCAGCAAGCTACTCTGCCTTCCTGTGCCTCCGTTTCCTCACTTACAAAATGAGGATTCTATCAAGAAGACTGCGCAGATTAAAAGCCTTGGTCTAATAAAATGCTTGGATGGGTGCCTGGCACCGACAGTGCTCCACAAGCACTGGGCTGCTGTGGTGATTCTCGTGCTGCCTCCTATGCATATTTCATATCTTAACTCATTAATTTCAAAACCATTATCTCCCTGGTATAGATGGGGCCCCAAGAGACTCAGGACATGCCTAACTAGGTGGTAAGGTCTAAGTTCAGCCTCAGAGAACTACAGCAGAGGATACTGGAAGTGGAATGTATTGTCGGTAGTTTTTTGTTTTGTTCTCCGCCTGGGCTCTGGCCTGAAGCCCTCATGCCCCTGCCTCTGGGATGGGATTTTTAACCCTTGCCCCTGATGCTGCCCTGGTCCTCTCAATCCCACCTGAGTCTCGGGTCTCAGCCACCAGAGCTGAGCCCAGCATCCTGCCTCCTGCTGCCCTCCTACCTTCATGCCAGCTCCTGCTGGCTGCCTACCTGCTCTAT